GGCCAGAATTGTGGAAACCTTTTGGGAAGAGTGTATTTTTGAGGTTTGATGGCTAATAACACCACTTTTTTGGAGTAGTACCATAAAATTATATATTGATGGAGAGATAATTTAATGAAGAATGTAATGCAACTTAGTTTGTTCAATTATCTGTACTGTATTCTGTGAAGTTATAGCCAAATAACCAGAAAAAGGAAGCACAACTTGCTTAAGTTGATATCAGGCAGCTTTCCTTCATCTGACTGTAGTCAATGAGCATGAGTGTTTAGAAAGCCAATCAGGTGCCATCTTGTTTTGACAATGAGCCAATCAGATCACAGTAGGATTCAGTTATTGATGTCCTGTATTGAAGCTGAGAAGAGGACATTTGCCAGTGTGTTATGTGATCGCTATCAAGTTGGTTGGTTTTTTTTGTGTTCTTTAGTGAGCTGTAAAACGTAATAAAATTAAAAGAATGGTGCAAAGAATTGACTGGTTGCCCAGAAAGCGATGTAAAGTAGAATTATTAAGTGAACCAGGCTACAGTTATAAAGAAATTAGAAGAAAAAATGGTGGAAACTTAACCAAGGGTGGCATTTCTACTGTACACTTTTCCCAAAAAGTTTCCACAATTTTGGCCACTACTGTAGAACAGGGCTTGGAATGAGCAAAGTGCATTTGAATGGAATCTGGTTTGATTCCTGGTTCTGGACACCTGGGATGTCTCTTTACTTCCCGCCAGTTAATTTATTTACTATATAATTATATGTTATAATATAAATGTTATATATTGTTAAAATAAGTAAGCAATAACCATTTTGGGGATTCCTTCAAACCAGTTGGCCCTCTCACTGTGGTGACACTCAATGAAGAAACCCCTCCTTTTTCTGCAGCGTGCACATCTGCCCGTTTTTTTTTAGTTTCTATTTCTGCTGGGTTGAAATCTTTTGACTTTTTTTCTGCTTGATCTTTCCTGGCTTATTGATTCTTCAAGAGTTGATCTGGTTTCAAGGGGCTGCACTACTTCAAAAAGTTGTCCGCCTAAAATGGGTTTGTCTCCGTATCAGAGTTTCTTCTCCAAAATGTGTTGGGAAACTCAGGTGGTCAGGAATAATTGCCCTGGCAACTGCCCCAAAAGAGGTTGCAGTGGCTAAGTGAATTTGGCTTCTCCATTAACTTTTCTTGTCAGAAGGTCACAAAAGGAGATCACGTAACCCCTGGACCAGGGGTAGGCAACCTTGGCTCTTTTATGACTCGTGACTTCAACTCCCAGAATTCCTGAGCCAGCATGGCTCAGCTTGGAAACCTCTCCCTTTTTCCTCAACGTGGCTGGCTCAGGAATTCTGGCAATTGAAGTCCATGAGTCATAAAAGAGCCAAGGTTGCCTACCCCTTCCCTGGACATCGCAATTGTCACATACACGAACCAGTTGCCAAACATCTGAATGTAAATCACATGCCCATGGGGATGCTGCAATGGTCCTAAGTGTGAAAAATGATCTTAAGTTACTTTTTTCAGTGCCGTTGTAACTTTGAATGGTCACTAAATGAACTGTTGTAAGTCAAGGACTATCTGTAATTGCCCAGAGTTACTTGGAGTTGGGCAGCATATAAATTTAATCAGTATTACTTATTTGGAATCAATGACGTAGTACACGAGTGTCAAACTCAATTGTCAAACTCAATAATGTCACGTGATGTATGGTGACATTCTTTGCTTTTGTGGAGCCAGGGCGGGCGTGGCCTGTGTGTGACGCATCCGGCCCACACAGGCCCCGCCAGTTTGACACCCCTGACATGTGTTATGCAAAAGAATAGCACGAGGAGGAAAAAAAAGGCAGTATTTTGGAAATACCGTTCTTTCTAAGGAATTGCTTTTCATTTTACAATGACAATATATTTTCCTCTTAACATATTCTTATTTTTTTTCCCCAATATTCTTGGCTATCTAAATAAAGTCTAGGTAGAACTGGCCACGGGATGATCCAATGCTGTATTCATCACTTTGTTCATCACTTTTATTATTGGTGAGAACATGTCATCGTCAAAATTATTGTAATAACTTTTGTATTTTGGATTGTTCTGTGGCAAGTTGTTCCATGGTGAGTTGCCCATGATTAGTTCCATTCTAAGTGTTTATGGCTGAATTGACAAGCTTTGTTGCTCAGTTCTGTGGGAAGGTGATTTAACGGGGAGAATGATTTCCTTTTCCAAACCAAGGAATTGTTTTATTTTGTTCTGCCTCATCCTGGCAGAATCCGTGTTCTTGGACGGGGTGAGTGAAGCACTCCAGGAGCATTTGCCAAAGAAGATGAACCCTCACAGACTCCCTGGAGGTATGAAGTTAAAGCAAGCAGGAAGCATCTGTCTCAGGCAACTATAAAAAAAAAAAAAGATCTTTTCAGAATCAGCTGAAAGCAATCAAGGAACCCACAGGCAAAACTGTGTTTCAGATTGGCATTTGGTAGAAGAGGGATGAAGACTTTGAAAAAAATATTCAAATGCTAAGATCAAAAGAGAGTAGGCAATTATTTTCTTTGTGAAACTTTATGGAGGCAAAAATGGAAGAAGCAGGGTAGAAAGAATATTGGAGCTATGCAACAAAAGGAACTGAAGAAATAGGGGAGACATGATAGCAGTGTTCCAGTATCTGAGGGGCTGACACAAGGCAGAGGGTGCCAGGTTGTTCATCAAAGCACCAGATGGAAGGACGAGAAACAACAGTTGGAAACTGACCAAAGAGAGAAGCAACCTGGAACTCAGGAGAAATTTCCTGAGAGTGAGGACAATCTACCAGTGGAACAGCTTGCCACCAGAAATCGTGGGCGCTCCATCACTGGAGATTTTTAAGAAGAGACTAGACATCCACCTGAGACGATATAGTTCTCCTGCTCAAGCAGGGGGCTTGACTAGAAGACCTCCAAGGTCCCTTCCAGCTCTATTCTATTCTAAGATGCAGTTCAGTAGTGAGAAAGATCCTGCATGTCAGCAGGAAAAACCAGATGCACAGGGTTACCTGCTTCAGCACTAGTGCCTGTGATAAGATCTTGGTGTCCCGGAGGACCATCACTTAACTACAATAAAAGCCAGCAATGTGCCATAGCTGCCAAAAAAATAGTTCTTGTTTGGATCAATAGAGGGATAGCACCAACATCACAAGAAGTCATGGTACTACTCTATATGGCAGTACTGAAGCCATGTGATCAAGGTATTATTCAGTGTAACAAAAAGGGTTAGATGAAGTGTTGCAGATAGTGCAGTCACTTGTGCTGGACAACAGCCACACGTTGGGCATAAGGTTGTACTACAATATCTCAAAGGTCCCTTTTAGTCATATGATTCTATGATGCTTTTCAACTTTGGAGAAGGCTCTTGAAAGCACCAGGGTTACTCAAACAACTCCAACAATTAGAGCACAGAATGGAGACAATTGGGACACAAATGTACAGAGAACTTTAAACGAAAACCAAACTCCACTGAGGAATCCACAGAATTACCAAGATGAAAGGAAAGAGGAACAGAACAAGACAGATGCATTCCATCAGAGCAGCAATGAGCATAGCAGCAGGACTTCTGAAGCTCAAGATGTATCCTGTCTCTAAGCAGAACTTGCCGTGCTTATTTAGACAAAATTAGCCAGATTAGAAATGAAGGATCTGTCCATCAGAAGGTCATACATTTTTGACTATTCCTCATTTGAGTTCAGGAAGAATTTACCTGATTTTTCTACATCAGACATGTAACTGTACATTTATTTATCAAAATGATATGCTACTCATCTTGTAGTTTAAGGCCACTCTTTTACCTCCCAATCTCAGGCTTGTTTTGTAATGTGTAAAGAGCTCCAAATATTTACTTTGTAAAGATCCCAGCCCGTTATTAACCACATTTTGGTGCAACCAATGGGCATACGCAGCTGAGGAGCATGGGTGTAGTTCAGGAAATTGTGGAACTCCTCAAAAATGAATTGAGTAATCTGGGAAGGCAGCGCCATAGAAAGGGAGGAAATAAAGAAACGGAGGGGGAAAGAATGAGGGGGAAAGAATGAACATTCTTCCAGTCTAAATTCCTAACCCTTTTTTCCAACTGTTGGATAGCCAAGCCTGACACTTCTGAGGAATATGTGCAGAAAATGTAATTATGCATTAGTCAAGTTTCACTGAATTATCCAATCCGTCATGTTTCTATAACGCACTTGTGTAGTTAATCCCACGAATAGTAAGGTCACCACTCCATCTTCAGCTGTTTCTTTATTTGGACACTTATAGCTTTTCTCCTGCGTGGATGCTTGAGGAAGCAAAGCTACCATTACTATCTGTGCTTGGGCAAAACAGTTGCAGCCAGGCAGAAATGCTTCCCATCCCTCTTCCCCAGGGCTCAGCACACCTCAAAGAAATTTGAGATAGGCTCATGCAATCATTAATTCACTCACTCATTTACTCAGTTTACTTAAAGGATCCATGCTGCCATGCCAGTTCCTGGCTAAATGAACCACAATTGTCATTTTCAAGAATATTTGAAAATCCAGAAGTAACCTCATCCCAACGAGGCCCTTAGTGTACAATACCAAAGGGTAAGAAAGAGCAAAGAGCATGTGTGGGTGCGTAGGAGAAAAGGAAATAAGAAAAAAAGCAAGAAGATGGGGAAACAGGCCATATTTGATGATTGGTAATATAAGCAGGCAATCCCTCAACCGCCAGCTCCACAAACTACGGCAAGCAGCATCTCCTAGTGAGGCTCCTGCCTGGAGCTTGGCTTGGGAGTTCAGCTGGAATGCTCAAAAGCAACACTGCTGAAGAGCAGAGCTTGGAGTTGGCCAAGAGAAAAGCAGCAACTGCACTGAGGCAGTCCTTTAGTGTGAGAATATTTGGAAGGACGGAAAGGTTGCATACCACTTTACAGACTAAGAGAATTTTGTTTCAGACTGGGACGCTATTAAATTTACTTACATGGCAACATCACTTTGCAAAGCCCAGGATAGTTAATAGCCTGTTGTTGGGGAAGGCTTGTCACACAATAAAGCACGGTGTACTCATTTATTAATGCTGTGCTGTGCCCACTGCTTGGAAAATAAAAAACCTTCACAGGATCATGAATAAGATTACAGATCAACCAAAATATCTTTGCATATACTATGCAATAAGCTTTCTTCCCTTCTGCTGAACAAGTTGACTTTGTCTGAATGAAGCTCATTGCATAATTTATATGATTTTTTTCTGTGGGCACATTTTTATGAGATTTATGTTGTCCTTTCCAAGAAAAGTCCTTTCCACACTCTGTGCATTTATATGGATTTTCCCCAGTGTGCATTCTTTCATGAGACAATGTCTTGTAATTGTTAAAGCTTTCCCCATACTACAAGCCTTTCTATAATCTCTCTCCTGTGTGCATCCTGTGATCGGAAATATCACTACTCTCAACTTAATCTCTTTACAGTTATATGGTTTTTCAATTGTGTGGATGTTCTGATGACAAATAAGATTACAGTTTGAACTGAAGCCCTTTCCATATTCTATATGTTTATTTGGTCTTTTCCCAGTATGGATCCTCTTATGACAAATAAGTTATCATTTCTGACAAAAGCTTTTTCCACACTCTGCATTTATATTGTCCCTCTCCTTTGTGGATCCTTTTTTGACAATTAAGTTTCCCTTTCTGAGTGAAGCTTTTTCCATACTCCAAGCATTTATGCTGTGTGGAATTTTTGATGTCGAATAAAATCTCTGTTGTCAATAAGGCTGTTTCTACATTCTAGGCATTTATATGGTTTCTCCCTTGGGTGGATCTTTTGATGGGAAATAATACCACTACTCTCAGTGAATATCTTTCCATACTCCTGGCAACTATATGGTTTTTAACGTGTGGATCCGCTGATGGCGAGTCAGATTAGAGTATCTTGTGAAGGCTTTTCCACATTCTGTGCATTTATACGGTGTCTCCCCTGTATGGATTGTCTGATGAAATTTAAGTTGTCCTTTCTGAGCAAAGCTCTTTCCACATTCTGTACATTGAAATGGTTTCTCTCCTGTATGGATTGTCTCATGAATTTTAAGTTTTCCTTTCTGAGCAAAGCTCTTTCCACATTCTGTACATTGAAATGGTTTCTCTCCTGTATGGATTGTCTGGTGAATTTTAAGTTGGCTTTTCTGAGCAAAGTTCTTTCCACATTCTGTACATTGAAATGGTTTCTCTCCTGTATGGATTGTCTGGTGAATTTTAAGTTGGCTTTTCTGAGCAAAGCTCTTTCCACATTCTGTACACTGAAATGGTTTCTCCCCTGTATGGATTGTGTGATGAATTTTAAGTTTTCCTTTCCGAGCAAAGCTCTTTCCACATTCTGTACATTGAAATGGTTTCTCCCCTGTATGGATTGTCTGATGAAATTTAAGATGTCTTTTCTGAGCAAAGCTCTTTCCACATTCTGTGCATTTATACGGTCTCTCCCCTGTATGGACTGTCTGATGAAATTTAAGATGTCTTTTCTGAGCAAAACTCTTTCCACATTCTGTACATTGAAATGGTTTTTCCCCTGTATGGACTGTCTGATGAATTTTAAGTTGGCTTTTCTCAGCAAAGCTCTTTCCACATTCTGTACATTGAAATGGTTTCTCTCCTGTATGGATTCTTTCATGACTAATAAGACTATTTTTCCGAATAAACGCTTTCCCACATTGTATACATTTATATGGTTTCTCTCCAGTGTGGATCTTCTTATGAAAATTAAGTCGCCCTTTCTGAGCAAAGCACTTTCCACATTCTGTGCATTTATGTGGTTTCTCCCCTGTATGGATTATTTCATGTTTAGTAAGATGTTTTTTCTGAGCAAACTGTTTTCCACATTTCATACATTTATATGGTCTCTCCCCAGTGTGGATCCTCTTATGAGCAATAAGTTCTGGGTACCAACGAAATTTGTTTCCACACTCCAAGCATTTATGCGGTTTCCCCCCCGTATGCATCCTTAGGTGGCGAGTTAGGTCTTTGTAGAAGAAAAAAGTCTTTCCACACTCCATGCATTTATATGGGCTGTCCCCAGTGTGGATCACATTATGACGAATAAGACCCGAGTTCCAAGAAAAGCTTTTTTCACACACCAGGCATTTATATGGTTTTTCTCCTATGTGAATCTTTTTATGAGTATTAAGGTCTTCTTTCCAAGTAAAGCTCTTTCCACACTGCAAACATTTATGCAGTTTATCCCTCGTATGTCCCCTTTGATGTTGAGTAAGGTGACTGTTGTCAAAAAAACTCTTTCCACATTCCAGGCATTTATATGGTCTCTCTCCTGTGTGGATCCTTTGATGGGAAATAATATCACTACTCTCCGTGAATGTCTTTCCACACTCCTTGCAACTATATGGTTTTCCACTTGTGTGGATCCACTGATGGCGACTCAGATTATCGTTTGTACTGAAGGCTTTTCCACATTCTGTGCATTTATAAGATCTCTCCCCTGTGTGGATCCATTCATGAAAAGTAAGTTGCCCTTTCCAAGTAAAAATCTTTCCACAATCCTTGCAACTGTATGATTTCTTAGTTGTGTGGCTCTGCTGATGGCGACTCAGATTATAGTTTGTACTGAAGGTTTTTCCACATTCTGTGCATTTATAAGGTCTCTCTCCTGTGTGGATCCATTCATGAAAAGCAAGTTGCCCTTTCCGAGTAAAAATCTTTCCACAATCCTTGCAAATATATGATTTTTTAGTTGTGTGGATCCGCTTATGGCGACTCAGATGACAGTTTGTACTGAAGGCTTTCCCACATTCAGTGCATTTATATGGCCTCTCACCTGAGTGTATCCTCTGATGGCGATGAAGACTACAGTTCGTACTGAAGCTCTTTCCACACTCCATGCATATTTTCATCTCTTTGTTTAGACTGAAATCCCTCTCATATTTTACATACTTTTGTGGTTTGTGCTTTCTATGCAGCATTTTAGGCAAAGTAAAAGAGAAGCAAGGGCTCTTTGAAGACACTGCCATTTGCAGTTTAAATAATCTAAGCTGGTTGTCATTCTCATTCTCTAGCCTATCACCATCACCTGTTTGGAACAAAAAAGCCAGAAATTCCCATTAGAATTTACAATGATGGCAAATGGGAGTTCCCCCCCCCCCCGGTCAAAAATATGCCCATCTGAATATCAGGTTTCGCACCAGCCATGTGTCAAACTAAGAAATACTGGGTTGAAATTGTTATCTAGGAGACTCTAATGCAGTGGTCTTCAAACTTGGCCCTTTTATGACTTGTGGACTTCAACTCCCAGAATTCCTCAGCCAGCGTGCCAAGCTGAGGAATTCTGGGAGTTGAAGTCCACAAGTCATAAAAGGGCCAAGTTTGAAGACCCCTGCTCTAATGGTATCCAAGGGATTTTTTCACCCTGAACTAGGTTAAGGCTTTGCTGTTGATAGGTCAATCTGCTCAGGCATTTCCATGGAGCATCTAAAGCAGTGGTTCTCAACCTTTTTAATGCCGCGACCCCCAACTGGTAGTAAGTCGAGGACTACTCAACCAGTCATAAGTCGAGGACTACTCAATTGATGCAGCACTGTTTGCAGAATGGGACTTTTGGCGGGCTCAGCAGGGCAGAGACAGCCTGGATAATTCCTATTGGCTTTTGAAAGCCAATAGAATTAGACTCTATTCAAGAGAGTCTATTCTATTGGCTTTCAAGAGCCAATAGAATAAAAGGGAGTAGCACAGCTAAGGAAAAGTAGGGAAAAAAATGGCGGACTACGTTGTTTGGCGACCCCAGTGAAATGGTCGTTTGACCCCAAATGGGGTCCCGACCCACAGGTTGAGAACCACTGATCTAAAGCCTTTCACAAAGCTATGGTGAGCATTTCTTCCAAGGCTTTTGTTGTGTTCCATAAGAGTGGCTCTGATGACAACCTTGGATAAAACTCCCCATGAAGTGCCTCGGCTGGTTTGTCATCCGGGGGGCTCTGACGGTTAAAGGGAATGAAGGGGATGTGTACAGGGCTCTTTGTAGCCATAGCTCTCCACTGGATATTAGCTACATACTGGTACTAGACATCGTGATCCTAATTTTCCTGAGAATAGAAATACTTTTATATGTAATGGCCAGGTACAGTTCTGACCACATTATGCAACTGAATGCATGTATCTTCCCTGTTTAACTCCCACTTAAAACACCTTTCCTAATCAATGGAACCCAGAACAAAGGGGGTCCTTACCCAGAGCAGCCATGTTCTTAGAAACCTCCAGCATGACTTCACTGTACAAAGCCTTCTGGCCACAATCCAGCAGTGCCCACTCCTCCTCTGTGAAGTCCACAGCCACCTCCTCAAAGGGATGAGTGTCCTAGAAAGAAAAATAAAAACTTTCCTGTAAGGCAGTCCTTGCCTATGTTTTCTTTCTTACTTCCAAAACAGAAAACAAGGCTTTGGGAGAGTCCAAATGCTGCTGTCTTAAAGGCACAAAACATGGCTTAGATGCATCCAAGTTATAGAGTGGCACTACTTGGGGAGCCCGCTCCCCTGGCCCGGAATAACTCCAAAGGAATAACGCCAAAACACCTGAAGGCAGGACAAAAAGCAATGGATGGAAACTAATCAAGGAGAGAAGAAACCTAGAACTAAGGATAAATTTCCTGACAGTTAGAACAATCAATCAGTGGAACAACTTGCCTCCAGAAGCTGTGAATGCCCTAACACTGGGAGTTTTTAAGAAGAGACTGGACAGCCACTTATCTGAAATGGTATAGGGTTTCTGCCTGAGCAGAGGTTAGACTAGAAGACCTCCAAGATCCCTTCCAACTCTGTTATTCCATTCCATTCTATTCTATTCTTTCATCAAAAAGATTTTGTGCAAAGGAATCCCCTCTAACGTTTTCTCACTGGATCAGCAAAATACAAATTTCTTAGAAAACAGGACATACCTACCAGGAATTTTTTACCTGGCTTATTTTAAAATTTTGTAAATGACCCTGGAAATATCAAATCACTTGACCAACAGTCTTACCATTAGAATTGGTTAACTTTGACTTTTCTATCAGAAATTTGTCTTTCCTATAATTTATTTTTAAGTGCATATATTGGTCTATTTGTACAGTGGCATTGTTTTACTTCATGCGTTTTATTTTTTAATTGCTTTTCCAAAATCCTTTCAAAAATATTAAGGTTAATATGTTCCAACATATACATTAGAATAGATTTCGTAATACAAGATTCTTGTGAATTGTCTCTTGTTTGCATCCAAAAAATTTGAAGGTTGAATGAGTGAGGCTCACTCGATCATTCTGTGGGGATACCAGGTTCAAATGCACAGAGTCAGCATTTGGTTTTCAAAGTAGCTCATGAGCAGAAGGAGTTTAATCTTTTCATAAGAAACCTAAACTTACCTGGCAAGGTGGCCCCAGTTTGATGTTACTGAAAGGAAGCTCTTCAGAATAAAAGGATGGATCTCCTCTTCCCTGGAGCACTGTTGAAATCTCTCCCATGAATGGCTCCTGCAACTGAAAGAATAGGCTGTATTTATGATCCACTTTCAAATAACGTCAACCATGTTAGTTCACTTGCCTTACCCTTTTCTCTCCAATTCTACTTTTCAAACTCAAGTCAAGAATGGTATTCCTTGGGGACCTCCCTCCCCTGGCCTGGAATAACTCACCAAAATCGTTTTGGGCAGGGGAATCCCCTGCCTGCATCTCTCTGGCCCAGTAAAATACACATTTCTTAGAAAAGAGGAGAGATCTATTAAGAATTTTTTACCGGGCCTATTTCAAAATGTTCACCATCCTTGAAATATCAAGTCGTTTCACCAACAATCTTACCATTAAAACTTGTCAGCTTTGATGTAGAGGTTTTTATATGAGAAATTTGCCCATCCTGTAATTTATTCCTAAGTGGATATATTGGCCTACCATATTTTCCGGCGTATAAGACGACTTTCTAACCATGCAAATCTTCTCCGAAGTCCGGGGTCGTCTTATACGCCAAGTCGTCTTATATGCCAGAAAATACGGTATTTCCGAAGCCATTTTTGTACAATTGGTATTGTTTCATTTCATGGCTTTTATTTTTCCATATGCTTTTCCAAAGTCTTTTCAAAAATATTAAGAAAGATTAAATTGTTCCAACTTTTACATTACAATTCCTAATTACATTTCTACTTTCAAATGAACTTACCTGGCAAGGTGGCCCCAGTTTGATGTTATTGAAAGGAAGCTCTTCAGAATAAAAGAATGGATCTCCTCTTCCCTGGAGCACTGTTGAGATCTCTCCCATGAATGGCTCCTGCAACTGAAAGATTAGCCTGTATTTATGGTCCACGTTCAAATAACATCAACCATGTTAGTTCACTTGCCTTACTTTTTTCTCTCCAATTCTACTTTTCAAACTCAAGTAAGTATAAGAAAACTTGAGAACTCCTGCTCTATGGGTGGCTGTTATTTCTTGATAATCGCCTGACACTTTTGTGAAATACTTTATTGCTTCTTTCATATTTCCTCTTTTCTTTCTGAGGAGATGCTTCTTTAGCTCCTCCCCTTTACTTGACCATTATGGCCTTTCCATTTTAGGAATGTATTTATGTCTGTACTATCTCATCTTCTTTTTCCTTTAGATTTAGAGGCCTTTATCTCCTGAGAGAGACAGGATCAATATCCCCTTCCTTTGGAGTGGCTTCTCTGTGCTTCTTGAAGTGAGGAGACTACAACTTGGCAGTTGAAATGAACACCGAGATCTTGCGAGAGTAAAATGCATCTCCTGAAAATATTATGACATTCATTAAAAGCAATTTGGATGCTTCATTCTTTCTCTTGTCAAATTCCCAGTCAGGCTTAACTTTTAGTGATAAATATTTTAAGATAATTTTAAATATATAGAACAGAAATGCTGAACTAGGGAGAATCTTTGCTGCAATGGAATACAAACTTTTGGCAGATTTGCTCAATAAACCACTTTTGCAAAATGATTCTGAACGTTATTCAATTTTAATGAATGATATACTCTCCATATCAAAGCACAGGGACATGCAAACTGCAATAATATCCTAAGGTGGACTAAAAGAATAATATGCCATAAACTGGGACTAGATCACACTAGAATTAGTGAGTAACTGTAATGAAAATCACGACAGGAACTTCCATAACAAAAAACTGCCCACGGACAGACCATTCCTTAAACTGCTTTTTACAATAATATTCTGTGCCATTATTGATAAAAACTGACAGGCCACAATTTGACCGTGTAGGTTCATATAGTCCAGTGGTGGCGAACCTATGACACGGGTGCCAGAGGCAGCAGTCAGAGCCCTCTCTGTGGACACGCGTGCTGTCGTCCCACTCCTAGGCCTTCAGCTGGGTTTTATAAAACCTTTTCGCTTTAGGCCTCCACCGAAAAAAAAAAAAAAAGTTAAATCAATCAGTCAATTTCAACTTCTCGTGGGGAAAACAAGATCTTGCAAAGTTGGAATTGATTGATTGAACTTTTTAATCCCACCCAGTCTGCCGTTACCACCGCAGCCATGCCCACCCAATGGGCCACACCCACCCGGCACTCAACGATGCATAAGTGGGTTTTGGATTGCAGTTTGGGCACTCTGTCTCTAAAAGATTTGCCATCACTAATATAGTCCTTAAGGGTGGGAAGGCCCTTTCCATGTCTTCCATGCTGATGTTTTAAAGGCACGAAACATGACTTAGATGCATCCAAGTTGCAGAATGGTATTCCTTGGGGACCTCCCTCCCCTGGCCTGGAATAACTCACCAAAATCGTTTTGGGCAGGGGAATCCCCTGCCTGCATCTCTCTGGCCCAGTAAAATACACATTTCTTAGAAAAGAGGAGAGATCTATTAAGAATTCTTTACCTGGCCTATTTCAAAATGTTCACTATCCTGGAAATATCAAGTCATTTCACCAGCAGTCTTACCATTAAAACCTGTCAGCTTTGATGTAGAGGTTTTTATATGAGAAATTTCGCCATCCTGTAATTTATTCTTAAATGGATATATTGGCCTATTTCTGAAGCCATTTTTGTACAATTGGTATTGTTTCACTTCATGGCTTTTATTTTTCATGTGCTTTTCCAAAGTCTTTTCAAAAATATTAAGAAAGATTAAATTGTTTCAACTTCTACATTACATTTCCTAATTACATTTCCACTTTCAAATGAACTTACCTGGCAAGGTGGCCCCAGTTTGATGTTACTGAAAGAAAGCTCTTCAGAATAAAAGAATGGATCTCCTTTTCCTTGGAGCATTGTTGAGATCTCTCCCATGAATGGCTGCTGCAAATGAAAGAATAGCCTGTATTTATGGTCCACTTTCAAATAACGTCAACCATGTTAGTTTACTTGCCTTACTTTTTTCTCTCCAATTCTGCTTTTCAAACTCAAGTCAGTATAAGAGAACTTGAGAGCTTCTGCTCTGTGGGTGGCTGTTAGTTTTTGATTATCGCCTGCCACTTTTGTGAAGTACAATACTTGTGGTAAATAGTAATCAGACAATCTTTTTGCTCATGTTAGCTGGGAAAATCATGTAGGTTTGGAATCTGTATCTGTATTTAGTTTTGCTGAAATGAAGCAATGTAAAAAATGGTAACTATATTCAAAACATAATTTGGTAAATTATGTTACTGAATACCACTGCTTTTTAAGATCAATGTGCTCACTCCATCCAAATACTGTGAAGCTATGCTTCTGCCTCATAACATCAAACATATGTTTTGAAATATGCAACCTAAATACTATTTGGTCCAGCTAAAAACAATTTTCATCTTTTATTTCATAACTTTGTATAATCCTGTTCATTCTTTGTACTAATTTGCATTGTGTGAAATACCTGTGTGAAAATAATTGTTTCCTGCTGTTGAGGGAAATAATAATAATAAACCCTTTATTATCAAAGTATAACATGTATACAGTGAAATTGGCTGAGCCATCATGATTCATCCAAGCTGGGGATAAACAACATGGTGACTACTTTAGAAAGAAAGTTGCAGTTTATTGAAGAGCCAGACAGAAAGATGGTTCTGGCAGGAAAGAGGAGAGAAAAAGGATTGAGCACATGTGGGGAATGTGTTTTTATAGCCTCTCAAGCCTTTTTTTGAAGTAGTTTCCTGTTCCTGTTTCAGGCTTTGTATTTCCTTAAGAGTTTGGGTGGGGTATGCAGATTTTAGGTGTCTTTGTCTTCCTAAGCCAGCGCCCCCCCCCCCCCCCGAGAAGGAAATATTAAAAGGGCAGAAAAATATATTTGCTCCAAGGATCTTAAAGAGACAGAAAAGCATGCCCAGTTTTCTTTGACAGCCCCAGGTCTTCCTCCCCCAAGCAGAAGCCAGCTCTGTACAAATGCAAATGTAAACCATCAGAAAAGTTGGAGCTAGAAGCTTAGGAAGACAAAGACACCTAAAATCTGCATATCCCACCCAAACTCTTAAGAGTCATTAAACCCACCGGGGAAGCAGGATATAACCCTTGGGACCAAATAGAATTAACCCACCACCATCAAGAATACCAGAAAGACACACCAAGACTCAGAATACGTGACACAGGAAATACAAAGCCTGAAATAGGAACAGGAAAGCCACTCCCAACATGTGCTCAGTCCTTTCTCCTCTTTCCTGCCAGAACCATCTTTTTGTCTGGCTCTTCAATAAACTGCAACCTTCTTTCTAAAGCAGTGGCCATGTTGTTTATCCCCGGCTTGGATGAATCATGATGAAGACTTTTCCTTCAACACTGCTTCTAGCCAAAAATATTATCTAGGAGAAGAAATATAACTTTCCAACATCTGGTTTGCTTAATAGATCCAGTTCATGAGACATTGTCTTAAGTTCATAGCTAATGGTACTGACCAAGATTTTTAAAAGGACCAGCTGATGATCCAACAGAAATATAAACACATATTTTTGTGGATGGGGAAGAGCTATTAGTAGATAGAGAAGCCCTCTTGGATTCAGGGTTGGGATCTGCTTCCCTGGTTTGGGAATCCTGACTGGAGGAAACATTAATCAGCCATTCAGCTTCAAGGAGCACAACAAAGCTCTATATTTATTGTAAGAGCACATTAATAAAATCTTGCAATTCTGAAAGCATTTTTCTACTCCTCTCCTTGTACTCTCTGGAAAACTAGGGTTTTTATGAAATTTCATTCCCCCCTTCCACTGCCTTTTGGGAATCGAGATATCTTTTGCATTGTGGCCACATTATGACCAGTCCATGAAAAAGTATGTCGGAAGCTTAAAATGTGGGAATATGGTCCCACAAAAGTTATTCCCACAGACTATTACACCATCCCAACACGTGTTCTCTGGATGCCTTTTCTTTCCGATTGTAAAGAAAACAGAGGCGTAAAAGAGGCTGAAATTAGTCTCTCACCTGCCGGCTCTCTCCGGGGGGCTCCCGGGGGTTGCAGGAGGGCGGCGGGCCGAGCAGGAAGCCCTCGGCCAGGGCCACCGCCTGGGCGCAGCTATCCGCCCCGCACTCCCGCAGCCAGTCCGCCAGCTCCGGGGGCAGCAGGGCCAGCAGCTGCTCCAGCACCACCCGGTCCAGGATCTCGGCTTTGCCGCTCCGCTCAGGCCGCAGCCACCCGCGGCACAGCCAGTGCAGGCGGCTGCAGAGCGCCCGGGGCCCCTCGTCCTCTTGGGGGCGGTAGCTGCGGAAGCGCCGGCGCTCGGCCTCGGAGCTGTGGGGCACCTCGGGGAGGCCGTTCGGGTCGTCCTCACCTCCCGCCTGAAGGGCCACGGGGGCTGCTGCTGCTCCCGCCCGCGAAGACCCCGGAGCCCCCATCCGGCCTCTCGCTTCGGCGAAGTCCAAATGGGAAAAGCTCCCTCTGAGGCCGCCCTCCCTTACCCGCTCCTTCCTCCGCCCCTTTCCCGAGAAGGGGCGGAGCTCTGCTTCCTCAGAGCTTCTGAGGCGAAGAGCAGCTTGCAGGTCGCTCCCGCCAAAACTTCGCGCGCTCCGCTCTCCTCCCAAACGCTGAGCGAGAGAGGGCTGCTTCCTAGACGGGCCAAATTCTGTCAGTCCCTTGGTTCACTGCTCTTGGCTAGAGCGCCACGCCGAAGGCAACTTACCGGCTTTCCTGTCCTCAGAGGCTACCCAGGGCTGGGAAAAGCCCTCTGCGCATGCTCTGTTCCATGCTGACGCTAAGAGGTCAGCCAAGGTTTGAGCAGGCAAAACGCTCGGTAGGGGAGTGGATGCGGGGCTGTGCAGATTTAGGGGGGGGGGGCAATACGGAGGGCACGATGGAGGCAGAGCGCAGCTGAAAGGAGCCAAACGCCATTGGGCGAATCCTGGTTTGATTGCTGCTTCTGGGCACCGGGATTTCTTTCTCCCGGAATCCTCTTGAAAATATGGATGTGGACAGATGGGAGGGTGGGAGACTTGCGGAAGGACATCGCAAATGTGAGGAAAGAACTGGAGAGCAGGCATCCGTCCCTCGAATTGATATATCATTAAATCAATCGGAAAGCAATAAATTCTTTGGGGATTTCTTCGCGCCAGTTTATTGGACCGTTGTGTTGTCTGTATTCTAGTGAGGACACCCAAGGAAGGAATCCCCCTTTTTCTATAAAGTACAATCGATTCTATTCCATGGGTCTTCAAACCTGGCCCTTTTATGACTTGTGGACTTCAACTCCCAGAATTCCTCAGCCAGCGTGCCTAGCTGAGGAATTCTGGGAGTTGAAATCCACAAGTCATAAAAGGGCCAATTTTGAAGACCCCAATTTCTATCCTGCATGTTTAGTTTCTATTTCTCTTTTGTTGAAGTATTGACTATTAACTCACCTATTCTACTTGATCTTTTCTGGCTGGTTGATTTTTTGACAAGATCTGATCTCAAAGGGTTGCACTACTTGAAACCCCCCAGAAATTGACCTCCTGAAGTGGGTTTATCCACCTAGTGGATTCAAATATGGGGCTCTGTATCACTGGCCATGACAGGATGAGATAGTGAAAAAAAGAATACATGGAAGATTGTGGCAGAATTATAGGTCATGGGACTTTATTAATAAAGGTCCAAGACTATCAACAGTATAGTTTCTTTTCCAAAAATGTGTTGGGAAGCTCAAGTGGTAAGGAATAATTGCCTTGGCAACTGCTCAAGAAGAGATTATATGGTTTCTCCCCAGTGTGGATCCTCTCATGAAAATTAAGTTGTCCTTTCTGAACAAAGCATTTTCCACATTCTGTGCATTTATGTGGTCTTTCCCCTGTATGGATTTTTTCATGTTTAGTAAGGTATTTTTTCTGAGCAAACTGCTTTCCACATTCCATACATTTATATGGTCTCTCCCCAGTGTGGATCCTCTTATGATCAATAAGTTCTGAGTACCAACGAAATTTGTTTCCACACTCCAAGCATTTATGCGCTTTCCCCCCTGTGTGCATCCTTAGGTGGCGAGTAAGGTCTTTGTAGAAGAAAAAGCTCTCTCCACATTCTGTACATTGAAATGGTTTCTGCCCTGTATGGATTGTCTGATGAATTTTAAGTTTTCCTTTCTGAGCAAAGCTCTTTCCACATTCTGTACATTGAAATGGTTTCTCTCCTGTATGGATTCTTTCATGACTAATAAGACTATTTTTCCAAATAAACGCTTTCCCACATTGTATACATTTATATGATTTCTCCCCAGTGTGGATCTTCTTATGAAAATTAAGTCACCCTTTCTGAGCAAAGCTCTTTCCGCATTCTGTACATTGGAATGGTTTCTGCCCTGTATGGATTGTCTGATGAATTTTAAGTTGGCTTTTCTGAGCAAAGCTCTTTCCACATTCTGTACAATGAAATGGTTTCTCTCCTGTATGGATTCTTTGATGACTAATAAGACTATTTTTCTGAGTAAACGCTTTCCCACACTGTATACATTCATATGGTTTCTCCCCAGTGTGGTTCCTCTTATGAAAATTAAGTTGTCCTTTCTGAGCAAAGCATTTTCCACATTCTGTGCATTTATGTGGTCTTTCCCCTGTATGGATTTTTTCATGTTTAGTAAGACATTTTTTCTGAGCAAACTGCTTTCCACATTCCATACATTTATACGGTCTCTCCCCAGTGTGGATCCTCTTATGATCAATAAGTTCTGAGTACCAACGAAATTTGTTTCCACACTCCATGCATTTATGTGTTTTTCCCCCGTGTGCATCCTTAGGTGGCGAGTAAGGTCTTTGTAGAAGAAAAAGCTCTCTCCACATTCTGTACATTGAAATGGTTTCTCCTCTGTATGGATTGTCTGATGAATTTTAAGTTGGCTTTTCTGAGCAAAGCTCTTTCCACATTTTGTACATTGAAATGGTTTCTCTCCTGTATGGATTCTTTGATGTCTAATAAGACTACTTTTCTGAGTAAACGCTTTCCCACATTGTATACATTTATATGGTTTCTCCCCAGTGTGGATCCTCTCATGAAAATTAAGTTGTCCTTTCTGAACAAAGCATTTCCCACATTCTGTGCATTTATATGGTTTCTCCCCTGTATGGATTTTTTCATGTTTAGTAAGATATTTTTTCTGAGCAAACTGCTTTCCACATTCCATACATTTATACGGTCTCTCCCCAGTGTGGATCCTCATATGATCAATAAGTTCTGAGTACCAACGAAATTTGTTTCCACACTCCATGCATTTATGCGGTTTCTCCCCCGTATGCATCCTTAGGTGTTGAATAAAGTCTTTGTAGAAGAAAAAGGTCTTTCCACACTCCATGCATTTATATGGTCTGTCCCCAGTGTGGAGCACATTATGACGAATAAGACCCGACTTCCAAGAAAAGCTTTTTTTACACTCCAGGCATTTATATGGTCTGTCCCCAGTGTGGAGCACATTATGACGAATAAGACCCGACTTCCAAGAAAAGCTTTTTTTACACTCCAGGCATTTATGTGGTCCTTCTCCTATGTGAATCTTTTTATGAGAATTAAGGTCTTCTTTCCAAGTAATGCTCTTTCCACACTGCAAGCATATTTTCATCTCTTTGTTTAGACTGAAATCCCTCTCATATTTTACATATTTTTGTGGTTTGTGCTTCCTATGCAGCATTTTAGGTAAAGTAAAAGAGAAGCAATGGCTTTTTGAAGACACTGCCATTTGCAGTTTAAATAATCTAAGATGATTATCATTCTCATCACCATCACCTGTTTGGAACAAAAAAAAACAGAAATTCTCATTAGAATTTACAATGATGGCAAATGGTGTCCCCTAGTCAAAAAAATGCCCATCTGAAAATCAGATTTGGCACTAGCCATGTTTCAAACTAAGAAATAATGGGTTGAAATTATTATCTAGGTGACGCTAATGCAGTGGTCTTCAAACTTGGCCCTTTTATGACTTGTGGACTTCAACTCCCAGAATTCCTCAGCCAGCATGCCAAGCTGAGGAATTCTGGAAGTTGAAGCCCACAAGTCATAAACGGGCCATGTTTGAAGACCCCTGCTCTAATGGTATCCAAGGGATTTTTCACCCTGAACCAGGTTAAAGCTTTGCTGTTGATAGGTCAATCTGCCCAGGCATTTCCATGGAGCATCTAAAGCCTTTCACAAAGCTATGGTGAGCATTTCTTCCAAGGCTTTTGTTGTGTTCCATAAGAGTGGCTCTGATGACAACCTTGGATAAAATTCCCCATGAAGTGCCTCGGCTGGTTTGTCATCCGGGGGGGGGGGGCTGACAGTTAAAGGGAATGAAGGGGACGTGTACAGGGCTCTTTGCAGCCATAGCTCTCCACTGGATATTAGCTACTTACTGGTACTAGACATCATGAGCCTAATTTTCCTGAGATTAGGAAAACTTTTACACAAGATGGCCAGATAAAGTTCTGACCACATTATGCAGCTGAATGCATGTATCTTCCCTGTTTTAACTCCCACTTAAAACACTTTTCCTAATCAATGGAAACCAGAACAAAGGGGGTCCTTACCCAGAGCAGCCACATTCTTGGAAACCTCCAGCATGACTTCCTTGCACAAGGCCTTCTGGCCACAATCCAGCAGTGCCCACTCCTCCTCTGTGAAGTCCACAGCCACCTCCTCAAAGGGATGAGTGTCCTAGAAAGAAAAATAAAAACTTTCCCGTAAGACAGTCCTCTATGTTTTATTTATTTATTTATTTATTTTTAAAATTTATAAGCCACCCCACTCCCGAAGGACTCTGGGCGGCTAACAATAAAAAACACATAAAACATAACAAACAACAATACAAAAACAATCATCCGGGGGTAAGGTTTTATAAACCCCAGGCCTGCCGGAAAAACCAGGTCTTAAGTAGCTTACGGAAGACGCAACAGGGTGGGAGCGGTCCTAATCTCCGGGGGGAGCTGATTCCAAAGCGTGGGCACCATCACAGAGAAGGCCCTCCTCCGCGGCCCCGCCAAATGGCACTGCTTGGCCGATGGGGCCTGAAGGAGGCCCAGCCTGTGGGATCTAACCGGACGTAGGGAACTATGAGGTAGTAGGTGGGCTCGCAAATAGCCTGGCCTTGAGCCATATAGGGCTTTAAAGGTAATGACCCCTCGGGGTTGACCTCTGCCCTCCCTCCAATACCGATTGCGACCGGCCAGAGAGTAGGAGAACCACCGTAAAACGGTGCCTCCCACTCCCACCCCTTCGAGTTGTCGCAAAAGGATACCATGATCGATGGTATCGAAAGCCGCTGAGAGGTCAAGTAGCACCAAGACAGAGGAATAACCTCTGTCTTGGGCCCGCCAGAGATCATCCATCAGCGCGACCAAAACGGTTTCTGTGCTGAAGCCGGGCCTGAAGCCAGACTGAAAAGGGTCTAGATCAGTGGTTCTCAACCTTTCTAATGCCACGACCCCATAATACAGTTCCCCATGTTGTGGTGACCCCCAACCACTTATACATCACCGGGTGCCAGGTGCATGGCCAAAGAAAAGGGGAAAAAATGGTGGACAGCCTTGTTTGGCGACCCCCGTGAAATGGTCGTTCGACCCCAAATGGGGTCCCGACCCACAGGTTGAGAACCACTGGTCTAGATAATCCGCTTCATCCAGAGACCGTCGGAGCTGGAGCGCCACCACTCTCTCTACAACCTTCCCCACAAAGGGGAG